GGAGATATTTGGGAACTAGAAGGGAAAGAAATTGAATTTTTTCGAAAAAATTGCAAAAAATGACCCTGTCCCCCCCCTTAACTTTTACAAATCTCAACCTAGTGAGCTGAAATTCGGTAGGGATCTTCAGTTTTAAGTGTAGATTACAGGAAAAATATAGCGAACCTGATTGGTGGAGATATTTGGGAACTAGAAGGGAAAGAAATTGAATTTTTTTGAAAAAATTGCAAAAAATGACCCTGTCCCCCCCCTTAACCTTTACAAATCTCAACCTTATGAGCTAAAATTCGGTAGGGATCATCAGTTTTAAGTGCAGATTACAGGAAAAATATAGCGAACCTGATTGGTGGAGATATTTGGGAACTAGAAGGGAAAGAAATTGAATTTTTTCGAAAAAATTGCAAAAAATGACCCTGCCCCCCCCCCCTTAACTTTTACAAATCTCAACCTAGTGAGCTGAAATTCGGTAGGGATATTAAGTTTCAAGTGTAGATTACGGGAAAAATATAGCGAACCTGATTGGTGGAGATATTTGGGAACTAGGAGGGAAAGAAATTCAATTTTTTCAAAAAAATTGCAAAAAATGACCCTGTCCCCCCCTTAACTTCTACAAATCTCAACATTATGAGCTAAAATTCAGTAGGAATATTAAGTTTCAAGTGTAGATTACAGGAAAAATATAGCGAACCTGATTGGTGGAGATATTTGGGAACTAGAAGGGAAAGAAATTGAATTTTTTTGAAAAAATTGCAAAAAATGACCCTGTCCCCCCCCTTAACTTTTACAAATCTTAACCTTATGAGTTGAAATTCGGTAGGGATCTTCAGTTTTAAGTGTAGATTACAGGAAAAATATAGCGAACTCGATTGACGGACATATTTGCGAACTAGGAGGGAAAGAAATTCAATTTTTTTGAAAAAATTACAAAAAATGACCCTGTTCCTGCGGTAAACTTTTACAAATCTCAACCTAGTGAGCTGAAATTCAGTAGAGATCTTCAGTTTCAAATGCAGATTACAGGAAAAATATAGCGAACTCGATTGGCGGACATATTTGCGAACTAGGAGGGAAAGAAATTGAATTTTTCAGAAAAAATTACAAAAAATGACCCTGTCCCCCCTCCTTAATTTTTACAAATCTCAACCTGGTGATCTGAAATTCGGTAAGGATTTTCAGTTTTAAGTGCAGATTACAGGAAAAATATAGCGAACCCAATTGAAGGACATATTTGCGAACTAGGAGGGAAAGAAATTCAATTTTTTCGAAAAAATTGAAAAAATTACCCTGTCCAACCCCTTTAACTTTTACAAATCTTAACTTGATGAGCTTAAATTCGGTAGGGATCATCAGTTTTAAGTGCAGATTACAGGAAAAATATAGCGAACCCAATTGAAGGACATATTTGCGAACTAGGAGGGAAAGAAATTCAATTTTTTCGAAAAAATTGAAAAAATTACCCTGTCCAACCCCTTTAACTTTTACAAATCTTAACTTGATGAGCTTAAATTCGGTAGGGATCATCAGTTTTAAGTGCAGATTACAGGAAAAATATAGCGAACCTGATTGGTGGAGATATTTGGGAACTAGAAGGGAAAGAAATTGAATTTTTTTGAAAAAATTGCAAAAAATGACCCTGTCCCCCCCTTAACTTCTACAAATCTCAACATTATGAGCTAAAATTCAGTAGGGATATTAAGTTTCAAGTGTAGATTACAGGAAAAATATAGCGAACCTGATTAGTGGAGATATTTGGGAACTAGAAGGGAAAGAAATTGAATTTTTTCGAAAAAATTGCAAAAAATGACCCTGTCCCCCCCCTTAACTTTTACAAATCTCAACCTAGTGAGCTGAAATTCGGTAGGGATCTTCAGTTTTAAGTGTAGATTACAGGAAAAATATAGCGAACCTGATTGGTGGAGATATTTGGGAACTAGAAGGGAAAGAAATTGAATTTTTTTGAAAAAATTGCAAAAAATGACCCTGTCCCCCCCCTTAACCTTTACAAATCTCAACCTTATGAGCTAAAATTCGGTAGGGATCATCAGTTTTAAGTGCAGATTACAGGAAAAATATAGCGAACCTGATTGGTGGAGATATTTGGGAACTAGAAGGGAAAGAAATTGAATTTTTTCGAAAAAATTGCAAAAAATGACCCTGTCCCCCCCCCCTTAACTTTTACAAATCTCAACCTAGTGAGCTGAAATTCGGTAGGGATATTAAGTTTCAAGTGTAGATTACAGGAAAAATATAGCGAACCTGATTGGTGGAGATATTTGGGAACTAGGAGGGAAAGAAATTCAATTTTTTCAAAAAAATTGCAAAAAATGACCCTGTCCCCCCCTTAACTTCTACAAATCTCAACATTATGAGCTAAAATTCAGTAGGAATATTAAGTTTCAAGTGTAGATTACAGGAAAAATATAGCGAACCTGATTGGTGGAGATATTTGGGAACTAGAAGGGAAAGAAATTGAATTTTTTTGAAAAAATTGCAAAAAATGACCCTGTCCCCCCCCTTAACTTTTACAAATCTTAACCTTATGAGTTGAAATTCGGTAGGGATCTTCAGTTTTAAGTGTAGATTACAGGAAAAATATAGCGAACTCGATTGACGGACATATTTGCGAACTAGGAGGGAAAGAAATTCAATTTTTTTGAAAAAATTACAAAAAATGACCCTGTTCCTGCGGTAAACTTTTACAAATCTCAACCTAGTGAGCTGAAATTCAGTAGAGATCTTCAGTTTCAAATGCAGATTACAGGAAAAATATAGCGAACTCGATTGACGGACATATTTGCGAACTAGGAGGGAAAGAAATTTAATTTTTACGAAAAAATTGCAAAAAATGACACTTTTCTCTCCCCCTTTTGAACTTTTAGGAATCTTAATCTATATGTAATAAAAATACATATGTGTACCGAATTTCAGCTCAATAGGTTTATATATGTTAATATTAATCAATTATATTTCTTATATATATTTTTTTTTTATAAAAAATGAGTTTTATTTTGGTGTACGGAACCCTCGATCTTAATGCGAGTGCAACTCGCACTTGCCCGATTTTTTTTAATTTGCAATATCCACGTGGACAATTGTATAGGGGGGAGGGGGTTTGACAAATGTCCACGACTGTCCACAACGGGGGCGGAGGGGTCAAAAATTGGTGAAAAATTGGCCACGTGGTTTATGGACGGCCCCTTTTAATAAAAAAATAATTTTTCGTGGAAAAAATAAAAAATTAAATTTTTTTCACAAATTTTTTATTCAATTAAAATTTAGGAAAAAGTTTATTCTAAGTCTAAAGTTTTGGCTTCATTGTAAGTATTAACACTTTTTCTATTATAAAACAAAAAATATTCCTAAAAAATAGAAATTTTTTAAATTTTAAGTGAAAGCTCCCAATACCCCACAAATTGGGTGATGGCAAAAAATGTATTTTTTTGAAAATTTTTTTTTAATTTACTTTCTCTTTTTAAGTTTCTTATTAAACATAATTAAAGATTAATATCGAAATGAGTAGAAAATGACGAGAACAATGTATTATTATAAAAATAAGTTGGTTTTTTTAATAATTTTCCTTAAGGGGCTCCAATTCCCCCACGCTCCCCTATAGCAATTTGTGTTTAAAGATTTTCAATGCGATAAGAGCAATTGTTTAAAAGATAAAAAGACACAAACTGTTAGAGGCAAAAAAGGAGATATTTAAAAAAATCCTTTTTTCCCCACTTAATTCAGTAGTATAGCTAGGCCGGTTCTGGCTCAAATCGGTAATGTAGATTCCTACTTACCGACCGAGAGGGTAAGTTACCGACCGTTGGTGGGGTATATGTGGGTAAGTTACCGACCGTTGGTGGGGTATATGTGGGTAATTTACCGGCCGTTGGTGGGGTACCTCATTTGCATATATTTAAATTAGTTAACCCTTTTAATTGACGTTAGTGGGGTACCTCATTTGCATATATTTAAATTAGTTAACCCTTTTAATTGACGTTAGTGGGGTACCTAATTTGCATATATTTAAATTAGTTAACCCTTTTAATTGACGTTAGTGGGGTACCTGATTTGCATATATTCAAATTAGTTAACCCTTTTAATTTGCATATATTTAAATATGTGGCAAAGTTACAGAGCGTTGGTAGGGTACCTGATTTGCATATGTAAATTAGTTAACCCTTTTAATTTGCATACGTTTTCTATTGTTTATTATTTAACTTTCATTGTTAACCCTTTTAGTTTATGCAAATTCCACCCACTATCGACCCTTTTGGACGTAGAATATGCAAATACCACCCACCCTCTTCTATTGCTCTTAGTTAACCACCCCCCCCCTCCCTCCCACCCACTTTTTTCCTTTATATATATTTTCAATATTACCACCCACCACCACCCACTTAGTATAAACCAGAAATTTCAAAAATCGTATAGAGAAGCGCGAGGGATTAAGCGTTCGCGAGATACCGCGCAGGCGTTGTGGGTAGTGGGAGTGGGTGGTGGTGGGTGGTGGTAAGGCCCAGTGCGCAGCAAGAGTGCGCGTACGGTTACCGCGTTGAGTGAGTGAAAGTTCCATGCGTCAGACCTGTCTGTCTGACTCTCACAGCTTGCTTCACTAATACTATAACACCATAGGGATAAATGTATTGTCCAAAAATATGTAAGCAAGTTTCAACTTGACTTTTTCCAAGATAACAATAGTATTGTTTGAAAATCTTAAAGCATGTTTCAACCTGAATCTTGAATAGAATAAAGATATTGTCTAAAAAACCTTCAGACAGGTTTTAACCTGACTGTAGATGAGAACAAAGGCATTCTTTAAAAACCCTTTTAGTGACGTCATTTTCATGCGAGTTTGAACACGTCTTCTAAATGACTCTTCTTTTGAGGTAGTTGCGTGCGCAGTCATTAAAGTGGGGGTAAAAGAGTGGGAGTTGAAGAAGAGTGGGGTTTACGGGATATAAAGTAGGTTGGAATCAACGATTCAACACTTCTATTAAAATTTCCAGCAGCAGCAGCATCAGCAGTATCAGCAACATAAGCAGTACTAGCAGTTTTAACAACTACAGCATCATCTACTCATTTGGTATGTAAATTTCACTTCCTTGATTGAAACATTTTGTGTTCCAAATTAGTTTTTTTTAAATTTAATATTAAAAATCCATCTTTTTTCTTTTCTTATAGATATTAAAACAATGGACTTCCAAAAAGTCAATGCCACTGGCTGCATGGAGAGATTTCTGCCAACGAAGCCGCTTTCTGAGTTGACTGTGAATGAGTTATACAACGTAACTAAAATAAACAAGGTGCAGACCAAATATGGTTCTAGGATTGTAGTAGACTTGGATGCTACATTTACCACTTTTCTGCCGGCAAGGTTCGCAAAACTATTTGACGCTGACCCTACCTCATTCACAATGATGGAAGAAGCCGTACAGTTGGAGAAGTTGCGATTAAAATATATTGGTGGCAAATTTAATGTTATTGAATTTGAATAAGAATAAATATTATAATATTATACTGTAAAAATTATGTAAATATTTAAATGCTTATAATAATAAAAAAAATTACTTTTAAATTGCTTCTTTTATTATTCTACCTTCATATTTTAAACAATTTTTAAATTAATAGAATTTTATATAACATTGTATAAGTAAATTTTTATTAAAGTTAAAGGAAAAAAAATTCGAGTATATAATAATAAAGGAGTAGGTATATCAAGAAAGAAAGACAACATTTTTTAAAGTTATAAAATTCATTTATTTTTATATATATGTAGAAATTCAAACGTATTACAATAGTTGTTCATAATTTTCATAAAATGATTTCAAATTAGTATTCACATCATCCACTTCATCGACACCATTTGAGAAGTTTCTCAGTTCACTTGTTACATTCAAAAACCAATTTCGAAGCTTAAATATATTGTTTACTGCACAATTTTCAGTTTGTATAATATGATGTGTACATGTTGGTGGTAAAAATTCAGTTTTAATATTCTTAAACGCTGGACAGTCAATTTCTTCTAAATTGTATACATTCATTACATACTTTTCTAACCACTGTTTTTTTTCACTACCTTTAACATAGATAGTTTTTGCTCCTCGTAATGCATCTTGTAAAATGGTTCGCACTTCATCATAACACACATCTCCAACCATCCAAGGGATTGAATGATAGTTGTTTGTTAACCACAGGTTTTCACTTTTATAACGTCCAGGTAGTGAATTTTAAGCACAAGGTGGTTCAAAAAGGTAAACTCTTGGTTGAGCATCTGACTCCAGAGGAACTATAGCCAACTCTTTGAAAATAAACTCATTGCAGGGTTTTTTAAAACCTTGAACGTCTACTATGAACTCCATTTTAGAATAGAAATGAGTATCTGCTTCAGAAATATGTCTTATATACCTCTCCACTTCACCCCCACCACTTTGTTTCCCTCTCCACTTTCTTACAATTTCTTAATAATACCACTGATTGGTTTATACTGAACTATACGATCATGTATGACGAGACAATATGCAGTTGTATCAGCAGGTATATTTTCTCTAGCTTCAAATTCTAAACGTACATCGACTGAAGACTGCTTTAAAAACTCATTTTGTTTCGAACAATCAATAACAATTAAAGGTGCTTTTGATTTAAAAGTATTAATAGCTAAAGTAGGTTCTGAATCTTTTCCATAATAAGAAGATTGAAAATTAGCATACATATCATATAATAAAGAATACTGATTTTGATCAAAATTTAAATTTAAATTTCCATAAGGGTAAGATTGTGAGTTCAAAAAGAGTTTTACATTTGTAATATTACAATGATCAAAGTAACAGGATGTATTTTTTAGTTTATTCTTTCTTCCAGTTTGAAATCCAACAATTACATATCGTGGTTTCTCTAATTGAGATGAAGATTTGAGTTGCCACATAATTCTTGAACTTTCTGGAAGTAAAGGATACTCATACATTTCCCACGATCGGAAACTCATAGAAATTAATGGATCCTTCTCAATAAATTTTAATAATTTAATTTTATTATTGTCTGATGGTAAAATATATGGTACTAACCATTCAATTTTATTAATTGTAATTTTAAATTCTTTATTATTGTCAAGATTTCCTGTTTGAATAACAGCATTTAAATCATTTCGTGATCTTATCAAAATGAGTTCATGTTTAGCATTCATAACAATTTTCTTATAATCTTCAGCAAAACCGAAAAGCATACTAAGTGGTACTGTTACATTAAAATAACCATTTTCTAAAGTCATTTTTAAATCCAAAGCAGAATATTCAAACACACCTGCATTTCCAACACGTATAAGTTGAGAAGGAGTTAGTGAAACCAGGTTTTTTATAGTTGAAGTATAACCAACATATTTGCAACGATCAATCTCAATACCATTTAATTCATAACGAATTTCATCAAATAAGTAAGCTATAGCATTGTTAATGAGATCAACATTTTCTGTTAAAGTATTTCCATCATTCTTTGTCAAGCGTCCAAATATATGTAAGGAACTGCTACTCGGTAAAATATATAAATCTTGATTCTGAACTATAATCCGAATTTCATCACTATTGTTGAAAGATGATGATGCATATGGTTGATGACTATGAATTTCATAATTTGCTATAGATTCATCAAAGTTCACTTGAGTTGGAATGCTGAGAATTTCATCCATTTTTCTTATAACAACGACACAAAATGAATAGATAGAATTTTTCACCTCTCTTCTGCTTCTTCTTTATTTTTAATGTCTGATTCGCAGACCAAGTTTCTTCAGAAATATTTGATTCTGAGGTGTTAACACCTTGCGAGTTACATTCACACTGCTTTTCTTTACACATGTTGGTTCACTTTTATAACTACCACCAACTTTTCTTTTTTGATTGTAAATAATTCCCATTACACTGATTTTATATGTAAACGTATTGTTATTGTCTCTCCTCTAAAATTTACTAAATTACCGTCCTGATCAACTATACGCAGCTGAATATTACATATTGTCTTTACGGTGACTGGATAGTAAATGACATTATTTGGAACTTCTATGATTTTATATCCAGTAGGAACAGAAGGATAAAATTGATGTATTGTATGTACTTTCTTTCCATTAATATATGATCCTGTTGTAATATTACACTCAACACGTATAGCATTCACCTTCATTATAGATATAATTGAATCAGAAACATTAACTGTATTTGCTCCAAGATACTTGGGAGAAAATCCAAATAATTGTCCTATACCATTTTCTTTTCTGAAGTCAATTTCACGATTAGATGCAATTGTACAGTGTAATGTATTTGTATCAACCATTATTTTTAAAACAAGACCAGTGCGTCTTATTCTATGTTCAATATGCTTTCTAATATCTTCGATTTCATAACTACCTGTAGGTATTTCTACATTGAAACCATCTATATAAAATGTATTAGCACCCTTATCAATGTTGGGAATTGAGTTAAATGTAAGGAGTTCAACAAGACCAAGAACATAATTTTTGTTAGATGATAGTTCAATTGATGGAAAGTATGAAGCCTCAAGGGTTGAAGAATTCCCTGATAACGTGAGAGTGATAGAATCATTCATGTTGAGTGTTTAGTTGTATACTGAAGCTTGAAATTGGTTACACATTCTTATATAGACTAAAGTTATTCTTCACTGTAAGTTGATTACACAGAAATTTAAGACACAAATGACCGCATATAAACGTATCAAAATTTTGATATCTTTCATGATTATATTTTATATAGCTACCAACACCTAAGTAAACAATGAGATCCAATGGTGGTGAAAGATTACCAAAACTGTCAAAGTATTCGGTTTCATTGTTCACCTTTTTATATGCAACCCAATGAGTTCCAGGACCTTCTTTATTATCAAGATTTATTATTGCTGATTCATATTGAAATGGCCCTCCTATGGGTAATTTATTTCTCATAAAGACTCCTCTAAAATATGGTATTTTTAAACTTTTAGAATATTTTAGAAGATCATAATCACTTAGTGCACGGTGAGGTAGCTTCAATATTAGTTTTTTGATATTTTTTTCTTATTATATAATCCTTTGCCTTTGTAAGGTTGCATATAAAGGCCAAGTCCCCGTTGATATGGTTTCATGTATAGACCTTTTCCTAAAGCAATGGATTCCATAGTATGATTATGTCGTTGAGCTTCTGAAAGTTCTTTCTTAGCAACATTAGCTTCATTAACAGCTTTCACTATACCGCTAATTCCACCACTAAGCGCCCCTAAAGCACTCAGTCCAGCAAAAATTGGTACAAGAGGTAAAATACCCCCAACTTTTGAGGGTATAGGAAGAATTCGAGGTGATATAATCTTAGATTTACCGCCATACTGTTTTATAGCCTTTTTTGCACCAATCATAGCAGTTCTAATTGTATCTAAAGAGTTGTTATTAGATTTCATAGACTTTTTAGCAGCATTAACAATCTTCTTTAAAGTAACATGTTTTTTAGAAACAACCTTCATACTCTTCTTCTTCTTCTTCTTCTTTGATTTCTTTGTCTTAATCTTTTTATATTTCTTATTAACTTTTATCCCCATCCCAAATTTAGACTTGGCTTTCATTATATTAGTTACAGCTAATGCAACTGCTTTTTCACTTAATTTAGCGTCTTTAGAAACAACCCGTTCCCACGCCTTCTCAGCAAGTATTTTATCTGCAGAATTTCTTATAGCCACGTCTTTATCTTTTGAATAAGCTATATCATGATCTTTACAAGCTGCATCTAAAGGGTTTATACCAGAATCACCACGTGCAAGACGTTTTGCTAACTTCGTACCAGGTCCACAATATTGATAACCCGGGAAATGAAACTCGAATGGTAATTTATTGATTATAGTATTGAGAAAACCTTGACCATGACAAGAAATGTTTTTATTATTCTTTTTCACTTTATCATGAGTAATCATTCCTCACTCGACTGTGGTTCACAACTAACTGATTGGATACAGCTATATAAACGCTATATTTATACCTATACCTTCAGTCGATTTCAAGATGCGGTTTAATGTACAAGATGTTCAACTCCCAATAGTGAATGTTGATAACCTTCTTCCAAACAAGGATGATGGTGTAAAACGTCATGGATGTTTATTTTCAAACAGCATTCGTGCTGCTTTTTGTGGACCATCAAATTGTGGAAAGACAAATGCTCTTTTGTCTTTAATCATACATCCGAATGGTTTAAGCTTTGAAAATATATATTTATATTCAAAGTCTTTACAACAACCAAAATATCAATTTTTAGAAAAAGTTCTCAGTAAAGTTGATGGTATTGAATACTTTCCATTTAGAGAACATGAAGAAGTGGTTTCACCTAAAGACGCTAAACCAAATTCAGTATTTATTTTTGATGATATTGCTTGCGAGAAGCAAGACAATGTAAGAGCATTTTTTTGCATGGGTAGGCATGTCAACGTTGACAGTTTCTATCTATGTCAGACATATGCCCACATTCCCAAACATCTT